CAAAACAGTACTAACTTATATTGTTAAAAAATATTAAAATTTAAATATAACAAACTAAATTGAACCTTATTCAATTACCTTTCATTTGCTTCTGCACTTCAAAATCTAACAAAAAAATTAAGTTTATAAAAAAATTGTATTATTTTTTAAATGCATGATAGGCAATTAACATGCGATTTTGTATCCAAAAAATAAAATATATAGACCAAAATTTTTATTAATAGTTCTCTTCGTAAATGTATTTTTTAACATGTAACATTATTGCTTTTGTACCAGTTTGGAGGCTTATTATATTTATTCAAGTATTTTATCTTGGATTTCAGTAATCAGCTGTAATTTTCAAAATTATTCATAGTATTTTACTCTAAGATACCTAATTTCTATAAAAAATGCTATACATTTTTGTAAATTTAATTATTTGTATATCAGTTGGAATCTCGATAATTTTTTATTGGTGACATTGAAATCACAATAATTCATTTTTATATTTTCAATTTCTGCGTTATGAAACTGCATTTGATATTTATTTTCAACATGTTCAGTTCTACTTGAAAATAAAAATATCCAGTTATGTAAATAATGCACTTGCTTTGCAAAAATTTGAATATATTGATCATGATTTATCTAACTGAATCTTTATATGAAGGAGATATGGAGTTTTTTTATATTTTAAATATTTAGAAAAGTTTTATGTAAGTTTAAATTAAATTTCGCTTGATCAATAATAATTAGAGCCTTCATCATTAAAAATAAGTTTCTAATTATTGCAAAGTACTTCCAAAAGTTTCCTCAGATTTTTAAAAGATTATTACGCATCGCCTTGCAAAGTATAATTGTTTCAAAAAATTTAAATTATTAATAACAATTTTAATATTTTTCAATAGATTGAAAAATATAAGTAATTTTATCAAGTGTCCATAACAAATGTATCTATTTTTTAACTTCCCGTAGGGTAAGTTATAGTAATCGCAAAAAAATCGAAAATGAAAATTTTTATATATCTTTACGTTTCAGAGGTTTCTGAACATTTTGGCATACCTTAGAAAAAATGGATGTATGTGTGTGTGTGTGTGTGTGTGTGTGTGTGTGTATGTGTGTGTGTATGTGTGTGTGTATGTGTGTGTGTATGTATGTACGTGTGTGTATGTATGTGCGGATACAAATTTTCGTCGACGATTTCGGGAACACGGATAAACCGATTTGAATAATTCAAAAAACATTCGATTCGTATTGATAAGGAGACGTGCTGATTAGTTTTTGGCGAAGGCAGGTCTAGCCGTTCCAAAGATACGGGGCAAAAAGTGCCGAAAACGGTAACTCAGTTTTTAAGAGAACGGAGCGTCCGATTTGAATAATTCAAAAAACATTTTACTTGTATTGACAAGATGAAGAATTGATTAAATTTTCATGAAGGCAGGTCTAACGGTTTCGGAGATCAAATGAAAAAAGTAAAAAAAAATGCCATTTGGCGGCCAAAATGATCATTAGACATATGCACATCAAATTATCAGATATTTTATAGAGATTTTAACAATAAGTATGAATTTGGTTTACAGTCCTATGGGTTCCGTACCAGTGTTTACGCGTTAGGCGGCGACGTGGCGCTTTACGCTCTTTGATAATTCGTCTTTATGCAGTTAAAGCAGTACGATTGCTTTGAAAAAAAGTTTAGATCTTTCAAAATATGTCACAATAAGGAAAATATTTTTTTTTCAAAAAAAAAAAAATAAAAAAAAATTTTTTTTCGAAAAAAAAATTTTTTTTCAAAAAAAAAGTAATTTTTTGTCCAATTTATAGTTTTTCAAAAATCTTATTTTTTCGAAGTAAAATTTTTTCAAAATTGTTAATCGTTTTTTAAAAAAAAAATAATTTTTGGTACGGGAAGTTCCAGCAATTTGCCTTAAGGCACGATGCCTTAATTGCCTTAAGACAGAATTCCACTTACAGCTAGTTTTCACATCCATTACATAAGTTTAATTATAAATTTAGCAACAGCGTTTTTTACGATTGAATTAATTATGCAATTAAATGCATTTTATATTCTTATTAACGCAATACAAATAATTAAATTCTGATTTGCCGGTTATACAAAGTGTTAATCGACGACAGTCGTTTAAAAAAATGCAAATAGAATGCGCATTTAAAAAAATAAAACACATATGAAGATATTTATATTAGAAATAGACAGAGAGCTGGTGTAAATTTTGTAAACGAAATGTGAACCAAAACTTTTTTTTCAGAACAAAATTTGTACGAATGTTTGTATCGACGAAAATTTGTATCTGCAAACATACACACACACATACATACATAATACATCCATTTTTTCTGAGATATGCCCAAATATTCAGAAACTTTTGTAACGTAAGATATATAAAAAAAATCATTTTTGATTTTTTGAGATTTCTATAATTTACCCTACGGGAAGTTGAAAATAAAATTTATAATTTTTCCAGATTTATAAACTTATAAATCTTTGTAATTAACTTTTTGAAGAAATTTTGGGAACAGCTGTTTTTACTCTCAAAATCTAATTTTATCTTCGTCGATTACCATTTTTGTTGTTTTAAATTTTTTTTGTCAAATTATCTTCGTGTTTGTCGAATTATATATTTTGGTCGAATTTATATCGATTTTTGATATTTGATATATCTTTTTTAGAATTTAAATAATTCTTTGACAAATTGTGATCTATATTTTTTTATTTAAATGTATTTTTTCTAATTGCATATATACATTTGTGGATAGTTGTCGAATTTATTTTTATATTAGTCAATTTATATAATTTGTTTATACATTTGTCGAATTTGTTCTTACACATTTGTCGATTTTTCAAGAATTTGTTTCTATATTCGTAGATATTTATAGAATTATAAATGATTTTTGTTGAATTTATTTTTGCATTTATCGATTTTTTCAAACTAGTTTTTGCATTTTTTTATTTTTGTCGAATTTATTTTTGCATGTGTTAATTTTTGTCGAATTTATTTTTGCATTTGTCAATTTTTGTCGAATTTATTTTTGCATTTGTCGATTTTTGTTGAAATTATTTTTGCATTTGTCAATTTTTGTCGAATTTATTTTTGCGTTTGTCGATTTTTGTCGAATTTATTTTTGCATTTGTCGATTTTTGTTGAATTTAATTCATATTTGTTGAATTTTCTGCATATTTGTCGACGTTTGAAGAAATTTCATTACTATATTTAACCAAGAATTATTTCAATCTTTGTCGACGAAAAAAATGTACTTTTGTCAAAAATAAAATTTCGATTTTATTTAGTACAATAATAACATAAAATTTTACCTTCTAAAAAAATTACATATTGTTTCAGAAAATGTGAATTTTAACAAAAACACATTATTAAAATAATTGTTGTGGCAGATAAAAAGTATCGATAAGTAGGATAATGATAGTAATTAGTAAAACACAAGTTTATTCAGTAATTTTCAGAAATCTTTTACTTTCAAAAACAACTAATATTCTAAATCGCTCAAGTCGTTTTTGAGTAAACGTCGATTTACGGAAAAAAATCTGTTCACATACACACACATACTTTTTCCAAATTTGGTATCATTCGATTCAGAATGGCTTGAAACGTCAAGAAAACATAAAATTAGCAAATCGGATTTTTTGATGAAAACATTAACTTCTCCTTCGGGAAGTTAATAAGATAAAAATATCAAAATGATTCTTTGTGCTTTTACATAATATATTTGAAAAATGAAATATTTTGAATTATCAATTTCTTATGTATTAATTATAACATATCTGAAATTACTAAAATTTGAAGCAAAAACCAATTTTTTAGATCATTATTCAGAAATTTAAACAGTAAATACTTGAATGATTGTCACAATTTTGAATTGTATTTAAATATATTGATAACCATTCAAAATTCTCAGTGAATTACTAAATCTACTATAAATAGATATTTCAATATCTATTAGAAATTGACAAATTATCACTAAATCTGTCTCCTTGTCCATTTATCCATCCAGGATGCATTTTATTCCTGTCCATTTGGCATGGTGAGTGTAGGAAATTGCAATTGAGAATATTCAGTGCAAATTCAGAATCATTTAACAGATTGCATTCATAGGCACAATGACTGTATAATTTAACTGATATATTTATAACAATTTATTTGTTGTTAACGTTTCATAGTAAACACACTACGTAGTCACTACTGGGCAATCAACACTGATGTTTACATTATATGTGACAACTGCAATTAAGTATTTTATATATTTATCTGCAAAATTATATTTATGAATTGGAAATTATTGATATTGGAATGGATTCATGATTTATCGTGGATTTTTTGTGACAATGTTGTGAAAAAACGTAGATACATGATTGGGGATATTTATAGAATGCAAGCATAAGTTTAATGTATATAATATTATATTTAATGATTGAGTTACAATAAGCCATTGATTGATTATTTTCAATAATGTTTACGCATAAATTTATGATATAAATTTTATATTACTAGTTTTGTCGAAATTAAAATATTCATTTTACATATAAACTTAACTACTTAGTCGACTTATATCTATTTTTGTCGACTTGTACACAGTTTCGGCGATTTATGTCTGTTTTAGTCGACTTTTATTTATCTTTGTTAACTTATGTCCATCATTGTTGACTTATGTCCATATCTGTCGAACTATAATCATTTTTGTGATCTATTAAATATATATTTAAATTAAAATTTATATTTATATATTGATATAACGTGACTTTAAACTATGCTTTTTTGTAAGTATTTATTTGTGGTTAACTACTTCGTACAATCACTACTTTGTCTATTTGTATTAATCCTTTTCGATTTGTATTTATATTTGCCGAATTGTATTGATTTTTGTCGCAAAGTTTCTTTGTCAAATTGTATTTAACTTTTTTGGATGGACTTAGGTCCATCTCTTTCGACTTAGATCTATCTCTTTCGACTTGGATCCATCTCTTTCGACTAAGATCCATCTCTGTCGACTTGGATTCATCTCTTTCGACTTGGATCTATCTCTTTCGACTTGGATCTATCTCTGTCGACTTGGATCCATCTCTGTCGACTTGGATCCATCTCTGTCGACTTGGATCCATCTCTGTCGACTTGGATCCATCTCTGTCGACTTGGATCCGTCTCTGTCGACTTGGATCCATCTCTGTCGACTTGGATCCATCTCTGTCGACTTGGATCCATCTCTGTCGACTTGGATCCATCTCTGTCGACTTGGATCCATCTCTGTCGACTTGGATCCATCTCTGTCGACTTGGATGCATCTCTGTCGACTTGGATCCATCTCTGTCGACTTGGATCCATCTCTGTCGACTTGGATCCATCTCTGTCGACTTGGATCCATCTCTGTCGACTAAGATCCATCTCTGTCGACTTAGATCGATCTCTGTGTAGTTAAATCTCTGTATGTCGACTTAAATCCATCTCTGTCGACTTAGATCTATCTCTATCTCTATCTCTGTTGACTTAGATTTATCTCTATCTCTATCAATGTTGACTTAGATCTGTCTCTATCTCTATCGACTTGGATCTATCTCTAACTCTGTCGACTTGGATCTATCTCTATCTCTGTCGACTTGTATCCGTCTCTGTCGACTTATATTGATCTTTTTCAATTTATGTTGATCTTTATCGACTTATATTGATTTTTGTCAACTCATGTCTATATATTTGACTTATACAAAATATAAGAAAATATGTTGTAAAAAAAAAAAAATTAAAATATTTTTTATCATCATGAAAAATCAAAATGATTATATACTATGATAAAAACCTTAACACATGCACTGCTACGCACGCATATGTCGCGTGAGACAGCTATCAATATAATTTAGTTTAATTTCTGCTATCAATTTCCTCCTCAAAGTTCCATGACATTCCGAAGACCATATGGTTAAATTTTGCGCAATTCAAACGGTAGCAATTCTCTACGTATAAAACTGCGAAGTCAATTTATATTGAATCGATAGCCAATAATAAATTTTGTCTATTGATATCAATAAAAGGTCTCAGATTATTTTAAATATTGTTTACCATTAATATAATTCACAGTACTCGAGCACTTTAATAAATTGATGGCCGGGCGCTGATAAAAAATGGTAAATTGGGCGTCGAATGTAGTGTATTATGTTTGATTTATAAATTTAATAAAAATTCAATACTGTATCTGAATAGGTCTCCTTTAATATATTCATCACTTATAATAATTTATCGATTAAAAAGTTGATAGATTTTTGTCAATTTCCGCATGGGCGACCTTGTCAGAAATAATCAAGCTGGGTCTATAAAGTCATGATTAAGTTTTCAAATATGGAAATTTATGGTTGTTAGATTATAAATTATTTAAAAATACCTAAATATATAATTTTTTTAAGAACCAAAATTCAGTTTGTGCTAAAATAAAAAATCAAATTAGAATAATACTACTACGTCTGTAGTAACTAGGCTTAGCTATAAGATTGGAAAAAAACTTTGTTACCACAAGTACCGATCAATTAACTATGATTATAGGACGTTAAACAAACAATGAATACATTATAATAATTGATTAATAATCGTTTATTACGAAACTGACTGCGTTGAAAATTTATAAATTAATAAATCTATCGACTCTAAACTGACTCAACATGTGTAGTTAATTTTTATTACCTCATAATTATATGGTGTGGACGTTAGGCGTCGTTTTTACTGGTAAATGGAAGACAAATTATGGAAATTTTATGATAATTTAACGAGATAATGTGGAAAACATAGGTTACTATTTGAGTCTTTATCTGGCATCTGTAAATAGTAAATCAGATGGTGATTGGAATGATAAATGGACTTCTGAAATTCTTCGAGTATACACAGGTGCGCATGTAGAATGCTTGTGTACTTAATTTAGAGGTTTGTTGCTTTAAGGTATTGCTAATTCATAAATTTTTGAACACTAGGTTTTTGAGAACTTTAGATGACTCTGCATCTTTGGTGATCTTAGGTTTTCACCTATCCTGAAAATATGTTTGTTCTGGATGCATGTTTATCCAAGATTTTCAACAATGACAATTTTTTTAAATTCTAAATATCCTCAATTTCAGACTATTCTCAAAATGTGGCTGTCTTTAATTTGTGAGTATCCTTAATCTCTGACTGTTTTCAATCTATATCAGAATTTTCAATCTGTGACTATCGACAGTCTCAGACCATTATTCCGTATCTCAGACCATTATTCTTAATCTCAGTTCATTATTCTCAATCTCAGGCCAGTATTCTCTATCTCAGGGCATTATTCTCAAATTTAGGCCAGTATACTCAATCTCAGGATATAATTCTCTATCTCAGGCCATTATTTTCAATCTCAGGCCATTATTTTCAATCTCAGGCTGCTATTTTCAATCTCCGACTGCTATTTTCAATCTCCGACTGCTATTTTCAATCTCCGACTGCTATTTTCAATCTCCGACTGCTATTTTCAATCTCCGACTGCTATTTTCAATCTCCGACTGCTATTTTCAATCTCCGACTGCTATTTTCAATCTCCGACTGCTATTTTCAATCTCCGACTGCTATTTTCAATCTCCGACTGCTATTTTCAATCTCCGACTGCTATTTTCAATCTCCGACTGCTATTTTCAATCTCCGACTGCTATTTTCAATCTCCGACTGCTATTTTCAATCTCCGACTGCTATTTTCAATCTCCGACTGCTATTTTCAATCTCCGACTGCTATTTTCAATCTCCGACTGCTATTTTCAATCTCCGACTGCTATTTTCAATCTCCGATTGCTATTTTCAATCTCCGACTGCTATTTTCAATCTCCGACTGCTATTTTCAATCTCCGACTGCTATTTTCAATCTCCGACTGCTATTTTCAATCTCCGACTGCTATTTTCAATCTCCGACTGCTATTTTCAATCTCCGACTGCTATTTTCAATCTCCGACTGCTATTTTCAATCTCCGACTGCTATTTTCAATCTCCGACTGCTATTTTCAATCTCCGACTGCTATTTTCAATCTCCGACTGCTATTTTCAATCTCCGACTGCTATTTTCAATCTCCGACTGCTATTTTCAATCTCCGACTGCTATTTTCAATCTCCGACTGCTATTTTCAATCTCCGACTGCTATTTTCAATCTCCGACTGCTATTTTCAATCTCCGACTGCTATTTTCAATCTCCGACTGCTATTTTCAATCTAAGATTGCTATTTTCAATCTCAGACTGATAATCTCAATCTTAGACCAGTCACAATCTCTAACTGTCTTCAATATTTTTCTCTCTCTGGCGGTCCTCAATCTTTCTCTCTCTCTCTTGGAATGTCCTCAATCTTTTTCTCTCTCACTCTCTGACTGTCCTTTTTGTTTTTCTCACCTTCTGACTGTCCTCAATCTATTTTTCTCTCTTTTTGACTGTCCACAATCTTTTACTCACTCTCTGACTGTCCTCAATCTTTCTCTCTCTCTCTCTCTCTCTCTCTGACTGTCTTTTATCTTTCTCTCTCTCTCTTTCTGGCAGTCCTCAATCTTTCTCTTTCTCGAACTGTCCTCGTTCTTTTTCTCTCTCTCTGACTGTCCTCAATCTATTTTTCTCTCTCTCTGACTGTCCACAATCTTTTTCTCTCTCTCTGACTGTCCTCAATCTTTCTCTCTCTCTCTCTGGCAGTCCTCAATCCTTCTCTTTCTCGGACTGTCCTCAATCTTTTTCTCTCTTTCTCTCTCTGACTATCCTGAATCTTTTTCTCTCTTTCTCTCTCTGACTATCCTGAATCTTTTTCCCTTTCTCTCTGACTGTCGTCAATCTTTTTCTTTCTCTCTCTCTCTCTGACTGACCTCAGTCTAAGACTCTCTCTTAGTTCTAGACTATTTTAGATCTTGGTAGTCCTGTATTTTAGTAAATCATATAAGCTTGAACATCTTTACAATCTTGATGACCCTGATTTCAGACTATTCTAAAACTAGGCGATCGTTTTCATAATCCTGATAAACCTTTTACGATCCTGGTATTTTACCATCCTTAACCTCTTGACTGTTTTAGTGCTTAAATTATCGATGCTGATAATCTAAGGATTAGTTCGTCCATGATTTAGATTATATTGTTAATTGGGGCTTAATAGACTGAGGATTTACTGACTTATGTACTTCATGACGTACGTGGTATATAATTCTGTGGGTCAATGATTTAGGTGGTTTGATGATCTCAGAGCTTTACGGCACTATACTATTTTTGTATGTATGGTTGCTAATGTGTTAGAAAACGACTACTTCATTTTGATGATAAATGAAATAAAAAAGCTTTTATTTTTACTTCATATTAATAAAAATGTACTTGCTGAAAGCTATCACATTTTTCCTTTAAATTTACAACTGGCAGTAAATTTTATATAGTTCATCATTGATGATGTTCATAAATATATACAATGCATACATATATATTTTTTAAATATAAATCAGCCTGTTGGTTCTGAAATGGTTTTGGGTAAACCTGGTATGTTTATTACTTTTGCAGTAAATTCTGCAATTTATAGATTATTTCTATCGGCCAATTCAATTTTTTTACTGTTCCCCTATTGAATCCGTACTAGAAAAATATGTGGGTAACACCTCAGAGTTCCAATTTAGACTTCAGGAATTTAAAAAATCATTATTAAACAATGAGAGAGTACAATATCTATATTCATCTCTTATATTATGGTTGTCTGTATATTATTTTAAATTATAAATGAATGTGTGTTGGATACGAATGTTTCAATTTTGAGGTCTCTCGCCACATTCATACGTGTTTCATAGAAAATTGATATTGTCGCGTTGTTTCTTTATTGCTGCAAATTATAGAGAGTCCGTCTGGCTTTGAAATGTGATTATATATCCGTGGTCATGTCCAGGAATGGTTCCCAAGATGTAAATAAATAAATATATATATATATATATATATATATATATATATGATTTATTTTTGAAATAAAAAATAATTTCAATACTTAGAATTCTAAGAGCCAGGATTTGTGTTTCTAAGAAAAGCTGCAGCAACATTTTCTGGGCTTTATTGACCTAACATAAACTAATATTTTTCTCTATATACAAATCTATATACGAAATGATGATGAATAACATTCTATACAAAATTATCTTCAAATTATGAAAATTAAATAAACATTAATTCATTGTCTCATAATTATAATAAATTTTCTTTTCAAATTAAAACTTAGTATGGCGGCGCATGTCTAGGTAAATCAAAGTGGCTTAGATTTTTTTTAAATAATTGCACGAAGCGTTAAAAATGTAAATGTAAAGTATATTAAGTAAAAGTATTAAAAATATATAAATCAAAAATAAAAGTGCACATATGAAGTTAAATTCAAATATTAAATCCGAATTTCAGATAATTGATTTTTGGTTACTATAAAACGGAAAGAAAGAACTATGTTCAGCACTCAAAAGAAAATAGGACAGAAAGTTTTTTTAATATTTAATAAAATATGTTATTACCTAGATAGTTTGAGAATCTTTAATATAAGCAGATATAAGTACAACAACACGAATCATAACGTAGAATTAAAATAATGACATTTTGCATGCTCCATTGCACAACATATTTTTTCTAGCATTGAAACCTAATTAGCATTTGCAATGTACTTGTGAAAAAATGAGAAATAGAAGAAATAGAAATTTAAAATCAATTGAAATAATAAACCATGAAAAGTAATAATTTTTAGGATAAAGTATTTATCCTCAACTAAACAAGTATTAGTTGTGTTTCGCAAATAGTAATTGTTAGTGTTGTCATCACGTTTTAAATTTTTCTGAACGACAATCTTGCAACATTGAATGAATCACACAAACTTATTTTTTTTTTCAATTTTATTTGAATAAATTTATATGTTGAATATTTATATTAAATTTATATTATATTTAATTAAACACAATTAGCCTAATTTAAAACTCCGATACAATTGGTTTACCAAATTTTATGTGTTCATGCTTCAGGAAATTTCTTGTATTTTATTTTCTCCACCCAAGTTGGAATCTTTGGTTATAGATTCAGATGTTTAGATTTTTTAATTATACTTGTAATAACAAATTGCAAAATGTACTCTTGTTTTCTTATAAGATTCCAACCCTGGTTCATTTTTTTCACACAATAGATTTCCTTATTAGCTTTCTTTTTTTATTATTACTCTGTAATTATAGACTCCTTTTTATAAATGAGTGCAATATAGTTTTCTTCTTTTTACATTTTCTATGCAATATTTTTCTTCATTAGCACGTTTACAATTTTCTTTGAAGTTTATGACAACCAATATTTTACCTAAAGTCGTAAAAAATTTTTAAAATTATACAAACAATTTAAAACTATAAAAATCTTTACTAATTATTTAATTTGACCATTTATTTCGATATGAAGTCATTACTTTAAAAATATGTGTCTTCACGAATAGTTCAACACAGGTTCAAACTTTTCTTTTACCAATATATGAGACCGTCCCAGTTTTCTTTTCTTCTATCGAACTCGTCCATTTTTTTTTATTTCTATGTAGTTTAGGAATATTGTGTAATGTATAATTTAATTATCGCGTTTCTATATCATTATTTTATGATATTGAAAAGTCAATTAAACTGGAAAAGCACTCAGAATTCCATTAAGTTCGAACATTCTATTCATTCTTATTCTACACGCGCCGCCTACGACGAACGTCATTCCTCTACGTCTCTACGTCTTATTGATATTATATATATGTATATATATATATATATATATATATATGTGATATTCTTGTCATGGTGTTAGTGGCAATATTCCTCCCAAACGGTTTAACCAATTGAAATTTTATATACCATTCAGTATGACTTTCGGACATTTAGTATGAAAATCGGACGACATCTATTTTTCATAAGCCTAAGTTTGGCCATCCTTGAGATTTTTTCACCATTTTATTTTATTTCATTTTTCTTATAATTTGCAATTAAGACACATACCTAAATTTTTACTCTCATTACCATAAATCAAAATTTCGTAATATTTATGTTGATAAGCAAACAATTTTTCATCCTCTTTTACTCAGTGAATGTTTTCACTGGAGTTCATTTCAGATTTCCTTAAGCTTAAGAATAGAGTTTTGAAAATCTCACTCAGTTCGGCGTTCAGATATCAACTAAGTAAAAAAAATATAAATCAAAACCTTGAGTCTCCATAAATTCCAATTTGAATGAAATCAGTTTTATATTAAGCTGGCACTTGCAAGGACTATCAATAGCTCCACGAACAGTTACATATGTGACATGCTTTGCAGTGGGTAAACCATCCATATTATTTTGTTAGCTATATATATATATATATATATATATATATATATAGCTAACTATATAGTTATATATATATATATATATATATCAGTTAAATATGTCAACATAACTTCTCATTAATAAGATTCACAATATGCCACCCAGTAAAAGTTTCGATATAATTTCAAGATTCCGTCTTTTTAAGTCGGACATAAAAACGAGTGCTACATGAGACCTACTTTATTCTATTAATATATATGTATATATAATACCCTACTGAGTAATTTAGCTCACAATAGCAAGTGAAATACAAAGAAGAGATATTCTTATATGAAAAGAATTCCTGTCTGGCATTATAATGAGCACACAATCGCCTTTTATGAAAAGTATCATAAGTTGCGTCTGGAAAATCCATTAGATACTGTGGAATATTCAAAAGATATTTATGAACGTGTGAAAAGTGGTCTAAAATTTATAGGAACAGTAAATAAAAATGTATGTTTGTACGTTTTGATGCTTAATATGTTTCATCATTTTACTTCGATATAAGAAAACACACGCAGAAATGAACAACTGACATAAAAAAAGGATACTCGGTTCTTATGTACACTTTGTTAAATAGATATAAATAAGAATAATATGAAAAACTTATATATTGAATTTGTATATATAACATTACTAGCAAACCCGACGAACTCCGTTTCGCCACCAAATGGTTTCGTGAGAAAGATGAAGAAATTTTTTGTTTGTTTTATATTTTAAAAAGAACAATTTGATTTTATTATACAACAGTAACGAATTTATTTTGATTACAAAAATGAAGTGTTTTTTAGTTGAACTTCTCTAAGTAAATGAAAGTGAATCCGCAAATTATCCGTTTCATAGAAGTGATCTTTGGCAAACCACATTTTTTGTTTTTTGGTCTGACGTTAACACAAACAAAGCGGATGGTTTTCCAACTTGTGAACAGGCAACGTTTGACTGCCCATGTGAAAAACAATGATTTTCTAAATAATCTATTAGAAATTTATCCCGCAAACACTAAGCGATTGGCTTTGCGACTTGTTATTGCAAACGCAAGGCGAACTGGATATTGCAATCGTTTGAAGTCAAACGGAAGACCAGTCAGAATCATTGGTATGTCACCAAACCGCCAGCAATTTTTGATTGAATGGTGAAATTCAGAGCGTGTACATCATTATTCTTTGCGGCAAGAATTGCTCGTTGACTTAACCAAGCATAATTCTGATAATTCTCACTAATGTCATTAATCGAATTTTTAATTACGGTGCGTGAAGTTCCAGCAGCTTGCATTAAGGCATGATGCCATGCACAACTAATTTTCTTAGCTATAAACCTTGCTGAGCCCGAGACCTTTTCAACAAATGCAAAATTGTCGAAATCGGTTCGTGCGTTATTTCGTCAGGAAGGAAAACCCGACTTATTTTTATATATATAGAAGATAATCTATTTGAAATTATTTAAAACAGTTATTGATTATTTTTATTACTCGAATTTTTAATTACGGTGCGTGAAGTTCCAGCAGCTTGCATTAAGGCACGATGCCATGCACAACTAATTTTTTCAGCTATAAACCTTGCTGAGCCCAAGACCTTTTCAACGAATGCAAAATTGTCGAAATCGGTTCGTGCGTTCTGGAGTTTTCTGGAAGGAAAACCCGACTTATTTTTATATATATAGAAGATAGCACTATTATGAGTATGTTTATCTCAATGAAGATTTAGAAACGTCTGTAATATTTAATTTTTTTCTGGTTGCATCAATAAAAACTTCTTGATAAATATATATATATATATATATATATATATATATATATATATATATATAATACATCAGGCTAAAGAAAACTATAAGGTTATCATATTTCTCGTTGCAGATTTTTTCACAGTATTAAATTGCACATATCAATCTTTGTGGGATTGGTTTTTGCAATACATTTTTTGCATTGTTCTGTTCTATTTTTTGTTTTATACAATGCTGATTTGAACAGTGACGTTTTAAAATAATGTTTATAGTAATATTATAAAAATATTAATATTTTCATATAAAACTTAATTTATTTTAATTTTTTTAATCTATGTTATAAAAGTTCGTGAAGACCGTCACCAACGTCAAAGAGCAAAATTATAAAAATTAATTACAACACTTAATAGACAATATTAAACTTCAAAAATAAACAATTAT